TCATGGTGCCCACTCCATAGTTTCTCTGTCAAACATCATTGGGTTATTTTAATGCTCACATTTACTGTCCTTCCCAAGCACCCTGCAGATATCCATCCCATAATCCATTCCAGGATCTCTAGAGGTGAGACCTGCCTCAGGGACAAAGTGTTCCTTGAGCACCAAGTTTCAGTCACTAGCGTGATGCACCTGCCTGGAACCCAAAACAGCCCCTCATGCTCCTACTGTGTACACTCCTCTCTGCACAGTCAGGATAGACAGGAAGTGAGGAGAAAACATGTTACATAGGAAGAATGTAGCCAAGAACTGGAAAAGGAGATGGCAGGTGTTGAAGACAGAGACCTGGCTAGAGTCAGGTTGATCAGAGTCTCCTACTGCCTCCCAGAGAGTTTTCCTTTTTCCTGTTGCCTGTGGACCATAGGTGAGTAGCACTCAGATGTTCTTACATCCAGCACCCATCTCTTAATATGCTCCCACCCCTCAATTATTTTCTCTCTGACCCCTAGAAACTCCCCAATGTCTACTCCCCAGTCCCTGTGCAGTGCCCGTGATCCTTACAAGCTCCCACTCAGCTTTCCTGAACCTGCTTCCTACTTGCCTTCTGGGACCTAGAATCATGGGATTTACTGATTTAATTGATACTAGAAAAAATGGAGAATCTAAAAGATGCCACCGTTTTATAAATGTCTTCTTGGAGCCTTCTAACTAATATTTCAAACAGCCTAGACTCAGCATGATAGAAACAGCATTTGTCTAACTCAGCCATTGCCTTCTCCCATGCTGTGTTGAGCCTCCTTTGAAAATGTCTCAGTCACTTTTATGAGTAATAAAGTCCCCACAAGCCAAATTTAATTCTGTACAAAACCTCAAACTCAAATCCCCCCTTCCCCATGAGTACTTGCCAAGCCTCTTCCAAGAAACTGTAGCTTTCACTCATTCACCTCCCCACCTTCCCCTGAGGATGGACCCCTTCCTTTCCCCTTGTGCTGGGAGATGGGAAATGGAAGGGGAAATGATTTCATATCTGACTGTACCATCAGCCTGCTCTGCTGGTGGCTTTCCCCCTCTGTATGTAGGTCCAAGTGAGGGCTGACCCACAGGATGCTTAACAGGTTCTTCTGGGCATCTGCAAGGGACCTCCCCACAGCACCATTCCCAGACCTGGGGTGTGCAGTCAGATTTGAGTCAGATACTCCCTAAGCTCCCATATTCTTTGGTACTAGCCACAGATTCCTGACATGGTGATTTCTGAGCCCAGCTAACAGGCATCCTAAACTCAACACCTCCAAGACGGTGTAAGCTGGCCTTTCTTCTCAGGTGTCCTCTGTTGCTTTTTCTCAACACCCTGTTCTGCCTCTTCAATTCCTTTTCGTCATTCAACAACAGGCTCAGGGGGAAATCAGCAAGTCTGCTGAGATAGCAGGCATTCACCAAGGGGGATAAAACCCAGTAGTCCTTTCTTCCTTCTTAACATCTAGAAGTTGTCATGAATCCTCTCCCTTCAATTGACCTCTTCTGTAGAAGAGCAACCAGTTCCTTGCTCCTGTATAAGACAAGGGGGAAACCACAGCATTTTTTTCTAAGGCAACAACTCCCCCATCTGACAAATTCTCATCAAAGTTCAGCCTTCTAAATATGAAGCTGGAACAGAGAAAGAGAATGATATCTTTTTGTCAGCCAGTACTAAAAAGATTTACAGTGATTTGTTCTAGAGTTAATCTATGGGGATAAATAACACCTACTATTTTCAGCTTTTGAAATTTAGCTAACATTTCAACACAAGAAGAACCTCATAACTCAACATCCTCTTACCCACTGGATTCAACCAGAGCTTTCCTATGGTATTAGAAAGGTGTGCATATCTCACAATTTACAAAAAATTAATCTGAGGGTAAATTATAGTCTATGTAAAAAAATTAAGAGCAAATACCCTCAAACTGGCATTGAAAATACATGGCACTTTCTGGCTACCTCTTTTCATTTTTCTTAAAAATGACTTTCCTTAAAAATTTCTTGCCATGGAATGTGATTGTTGTGGCATAGAAGGAACAGAACCAAGAAGGAAAGATGAGTTGTAAGCAAAGGGAGAAGAATTTCATGTCTGTTGACTCATCCTTGATTGCTAATGTAGAATGTCCAAAATGCACTCCAAGGAACTAGCCTGAGGTCCTGCACTGCCCATTCCTGTAGCAGCAACTGGAATGACTATGCTGTGAAATTCTCCCAGGATTTATCAAGTTAAACCAGTCTCTACTTCCTTGATGTCTTGGGAGCACAGGAAGCCAAACACCACAGGATGGGACTTCTGAAACTGGTGATTCTCAGGGAGTAGCCCTTGTGTTGTGGTGACCCAACCAGACCTTGATCTTTAGTATTGTCTGTAATCACAGGACAAACACTCTGCACATGAGACCTGGGGAGAACCTGATCTTACGAGGAAAAAGAGACCACCTCAAGGCAGATGTGAGATTAATGAGCTCCATCTCCCAACCCTGTGGTGAGCCTCCCAAGATGGGCAGTCAGAAATGAGGCTGGAAGTAAGCCTGACAGAAGTCCACCATGTTTTGTAAAAGAGAGGTAAAACTATCAACCAAAGTCAATGGAAGAGTTGGAGAATGTTGTCTTCACTAAAACATCACAGGAATGGAAAAGCAAGTGTCCCATATACTCAATACTAACATAAAATCAGTAGAGAAAAACTCAATTTAATTCAAGCTGGGGGCAAGGGGAGGAGGTAAGGGTGGGGGAAGATAGAGGGAAATTGGTATGTTCCCACCTAACTGATGCCACATAAGAGTACATGGCACACCTCCTGGGTGAGGGACACAACTTACAACAGGGACTTTATCTAACAAATGCCAACATTATAACCTTATCATTTGTACCCTCATATTAATCTGAAATTTAAAGTAAGTAAATATATAAAAAATGAAAGTTAATTAAGAGAATGTTTTGACTGTTGACTAAAATGTGTGATTTATGTCCCCATTTTGATTATTGTTCCCTCCTCCCTTCCTCTGCCATTAATGAATAAGGGTTATGACCTGTGGGGTAAATCACTGCCATGCTTGCTGCTGCAGGAGGACAAGGCTTGCTCCTGATAGCACAGATGTGGAAAAATAATGTTCACTTTTGCAGCAAAATCTAGAACCCAATATCTTTTTCTTACATGCCTTATGTCCCATGGACTTCCCCTTGGCTATCTCAAAATAAAGTATGGCATTTGCCCATTCCCCATTTTGAAGAGGGTAAGTTGTAAAGCAAATTTTATATCCAAATGTTGTAAACTTTTAAATTACAATCACATACATTTACCATAAAAATATTTCATTTTAAACTATTGCTTAATTAACATAAATAATATTCTCCTATGATTCTGACCATCATTTTGGAAACAAATGGCAAAGAATAGTTATTATAATAGTAGAGATGGATTCAATGAGAAATATATACCTAATACTGCATATAATAAAACCCCATATGAAAGTAAGATTCACATTTTGTAAAAATCATACTGCACAAACCTTAAAGATTATCAGGTCTGTTTCATTAAATGTGCTGCACATGATGTCACCACCATCATCAGCCTTATCATTAGCAACACACTTCAAAAATTACTTTCTCAGTTCCCATCAATTACCTTAAATATTTTATGCTCATGGATCATTTTACTTTCATATAATCAATATCATACCTCCTACGGGAAGTTAAATATGGACAAACTGGCTTTTTTCAGATTTAATATGAACCTTGTGATCTCAATTGTTATAGGTTCTTTGGATATTTTATCTTCTCTTCCACATAATCCTACCTTGGCTGTAGTCCTTTTAGGGGCCTCACCTGCACCAGAGAAGGCCTGGGTGTCATCCTCCAGCCATTACCTAATGTATCTCATTCCCAGGATCTGATGTTTTCCGATCACCTAACATGCCCAAGAGTCAAAGCCAAGTACATCTAAACAAATCACTCCACTCTGAATATAACCCAGCAATGGGAATCAATGTCCAGAAGACAGGTGTGTGAGGACATTTGTGTCACAGGACAAATCACATGGTGTCAGACATATATGCTTACTTCTCTGATGTTAATCTAGTTAAACTTGAAATGTTCAAGGTCAGAGTATGTCACGTGCGTCTCTGCATGTTCAGTGCAAAAAGCAAGGGGCAGAGGCCAAGTTAAAGCATCTGAGCTAAATGAGTGAAAAGAGAACAAATGATAGGTCCACAATACACCTGGAGAACAGACTTTAAGATTTCCTGGTTCTTCCTCGTCAGGGATCTTTGCAAGCATGCAGGAAGATGAGGAGCTGGCATGGGAGTGTCTGGCCATCACCTTTCGGTTGTGAAAGCAGCAGCGTGCCCAGGCCATGCATCATGGGCCTTGCACAGGATAAAAGGCCTCCTTCCCTGGGCTCCTCACAGCCAGCCTCCTCAGGGACAGCATCTCTTGCCTGCTCTACACCTGGTGAGTGTCTGGCAGGGGACAGAGACTCAGTTGGTAAGACAGCACAGATTTCAGTAGGGAGGAGTGAATCAGAGGTGTCTGGTGTGTAGATGGCAGGAAGGGAACTTTGGAGGGAAGCTGGGAACAGGGAAGGGGGATGACGAGCAAGGAACCTCTGTGAAATGCACCAGTTTCCTGGCTCTCCACACACCCCACTCTTTTCCTGAAAGTTAGGCACCCCACCCAGACACCACCACTGGGAGTCATTTTCCAATTGGGTGTATCTGCTTCAATATTTCTGTGAAGACAGAGGACTGGGGCCCAGTTAGCAGATACCAGCTTTCTTTTCTGGAAGGAGGGCAAAGTGGATAGCAAAGTCCTACCAGGTGAATTGAACTTGAGATCAGCTTCCATTGTCCTTCCTGAAGGTCATAGCTCATGAAGCAGCTGGTCAGAGGAGCAAGGACTCCATAAGCCATTTACAGAGTGGACTAGCCTCAAGCTCTGGCCTTGACCTTTCTTTTTGATCTATTCAGACGCACTACCCTCCAGCCAAGATGTCCTGCCAGCAGAGCCAGCAGCAGTGCCAGCCTCCACCCAAGTGCCCCTCACCCAAGTGTCCCCCGAAGAGCCCAGCACAGTGTCTGCCCACAGCCACCTCCTGCTGTGCTCCAAGCCCTGGGGCCTGCCCCACCCCTAGCACCGAGGGCGGCTGCTGCCTGAGCCATCACAGGCACCACCACAGGTCCCACCGATGCCGGCGCCAGAGCTCTGACTCCTGTGATGGGGGCAGTGGTCAGCAAGGTGGGGGCTGCTGCTGACCTGCATCCTGATACTGGGAGAAGCAACTTTAGAGGAGCCACATCCCAGGACCATCCCCAGCCTGCCTAGCTCCCTCATCATGCTTGAATCTCTGTCCTTTGGCCAGTGCTGCGGTGTCCCCTGAGGGGGCTCTGATCTCCTTGGGAGCTCTGACTTTCCATTCTCTAGGAACCCACAGAATGTTCCCCTTAGCATCTGCCAGGGCAGGCAATGTGTGCCCACCAATTGTATCGCCTGTGTCTAACCCTACAAAGAAATAAACCTTTGTTATCTCAGCACCCCTGGAAACTCTCTGGCTTTGTTTCACCCAGGCTGCTCTGTGAACATTTCCTCCCCTCTGCTCCTCCAGCACCACCTGGCATGAAGAATAGATCCTACTCCAGACCAGAAGATGGGAGCTCTAACTCCTTAACTCCTGTGCCAGAAGGTCCTCCTGCAGGGAGGTATCATGTAAGGCCTGCTAGAGGATTTCCCCTTGTGATTTGGTATAGGAAGGGCTTTACCTGGTGTCCAGCCTGTCAGAAGGTGACAACTACCACTGGGATATGGAAAGATATTCTAGAATCCCCCACTAGCAGACAAGGAATGGGAAGGCAAAAAATCCAGAAACTGGTAGAAAAGTTTTTGAGGAACCAGGGGAGGAGAGGAAGGCTTCAGGGATGACTATTAATGCTGTCTCTTCAATAAAGATCCAGAGTGCAATGGTCAGAGTTAAAACCACAAAGATTGTGGATGCAAAGAAGAAATTGTACTGAGGTTTTATAAATAAGTGTCTTGTGCAAGAAAATTGGAAAGGAGAAAAAAGTGGAAGTGAGACACAATGGCATTTTTATAAATGGATATAATTGTAAGATAAGTATTCACTAGTGCTCAGATAAACTAGATACTGTCCTGAGTGTCTGACATACACTTCTGCCATTAAGCCTCCTAATAACACTCTAAGGCAGGTCCTTTCATTATCTCATGTTACAGATACAGAACATAATCACCACAAGTTGTCTTAACTTGCCCAGGTCTGGCTGCAGAGACCATCAGCACAACTGCTGTGCTAACCTGGTTTGCTTCAAACCAAGCTACAGTGTTCTTTCTAAATTGCTTTCTCAACCTGGCTCAAGTATTTAACATTGGTTTTTGCTCTCTCTCCCACCTCCCTCTGCCTTCCTTCTCTGCTCTCTCTCTTTTCCACCTCTTCTCCCTCGCTCTTCTCTGCTCTACTCTCTCTCTCTTCTTCCCCGCTCTCTCCTTATCTCTCTCCCCTCTTTTCTCTCCTCTTTTCTCTTCTCTTTTCTCTCCTCCTTAGTGCTGCTCTGCAGCCTCCCTTCCCCCACCAATAAAGACCTTTCATACAAAAAAAAAAAAAAATTGGTTTTTGAACTCCATGTGAGTAAGATTCCAACCACATAAGTCATAGCTTCATTAAGACCTTATTTGGGAAAGAAAAATTCCATACCAGAGTTTTGAAAGTGCAGCGGTCAACTGACCCCGCATCTTCCCCTGGCACTGAAACCATTACTTTGCATGTGAATCAATGGTAACATTTTCTACTGACTTAAAAATTGTTGAAATGGCTCGGCGCCTGTGGCTTAAGTGGCTAAGGTGCTGGCCATATACACCTAAGGTGTCAGGTTCAAATCCAGCCTGGGCCCACCAAAACAACAATGATGGCTGCAACCAAAAATATAGCTGGGCATTGTGGCAGGCTCCTGCTGTCCCAGTTACTTGGGAGGCTGATACAGGAGACTCGCTTGAGCCCAGGAGTTGGAGGTTGCTATAAGCTGTGATGCCACAGCACTCTACCCAGGGGGATAGCTTAAGGATCTGTCTCAAAATAAAATAAAATTAAAATAGGGCAGGATGTTAACCCCACTTGTCACAAAGGGAAAAGACACCCATATATCCTAAAGCCAGGCCCTGGGGCTCCAGGTGAGGGATGCTCTTTCCTCCCCCTCCTCCATCAGGACTGTCTGGACCATCCCCATTGCCCAGTCCACCCCACTCTAGGCCTCCAGGACTCCTCCCAGCCTGCTCACCAGTCATACTGGGTTAGAACCCAATCTGTGACTTCATTTCATCTTAATTACTTCTTTAAATATCCTGTCTCCAAGTCCAGCCACATTCTGAGTAGACTTTAATGTGTGAATTTGGGGAAGACACAATTCAGCCTATCATAACAGAAGGGAGAAATAACTTCCTTCAAATATCAAAAGTGTGGCTTGGCGCTTGTGGCTCAAGTGGCTAAGGCGCCAACCACATACACCTAAGGTGGCGGGTTTGAATCCAGCCCAGTCCCGCCAAACAATAATGATGGCTGCAACCAAAAAATAGCTGGGCACTGTGGAGGGCGCCTGTGGTCCCAGCTACTTGGGAGACTGCAGCAGGAGACTCACTTTAGCCCAGGAGTTGGAGGTTGCTATGAGCTGTGATGCCACGGCACTCTACCCCAGGGGGATAGCTTGAGGCTCTGTCTCAAAAAAAAAAAAATTCTTGAAATGATGTTAAGGGAGAAATGATAAGCCAAACTTAAGCTAGTATATTCCTTAAACTAGAACTAAAAAAATCAAAGAGATATCTTAGAATTCTACTTCTAGGTATGCACCCCCCCAAAAAAAAATTGAAAGCAGAAACTCAAATAGATATCTGTGCACCTGTGTTCCCAGCAGCATTAGTCACAATAGCAAGAAGGTAGAGGCAACTCAAATGTCCATCAACAGAAGAATGGTTAAGCAAAATGTGGTATAAACAAACAATAGAATGCTATTCAATCTCAGAAAGGAATGAAATTCTGGCACCTGCTGCAACATAGAGGAACTTTAAAAGCATCAAGTAAAATAAGCCAAACATAAAAGGACAAATATTGTGTGAATGCACTTACATGAGATAGCTAGCACAGTCAAATTCAGAGACACAAAAAGTAAAAGAGGAGTTACCAGGGATGTGGGGAAGAGCACACTGGCAATTTGTTACTTAAAGGGTATAGGACTTCTTTGGGGGATAATAAAAACATTCTAGAAATGGATATTAGCAATGATTGTATAACATTGTGAATGTACTTAATGCCATGCACACAAAATGCACAAAATGCACAAAATGTAAATATTAAATATTACATTACATTATGTTATATACATCTTATCACAATTTTCAAAAAAAAATTTTTTTAAAGACATAATAGATTCTGAGCTAAAATAAACCACTGCTTTGGCCATGTGGGTTCCCAAATTTTTCTAAAGCCCTTGGGAAGCAACAAACTAGAACTTAGTTTCTCTTCCAACATTTACAGACACCCAGTTTCTTAAATTTTAGGAACACAGAGTTACCAATATCAGTCCATAGGGCAGAAATGATATCTGACCTGCTTTGAAATATACAGCCCAGGTCAACTGGCTTAGATAAGATTTTTGAAGATATAAATGTAGCAGCGGGACTCACATCACAAAGCAGTGTATTTCAACCTTTTCAATCTCATGGCACACTTGAACCTGTAGTCAAACTTCCTCAGCACACTTAAATTATGTTGATCCAAAAAAAAAAAAAAAAAAAGTGAAGGAGGGGGAGGCAAGATGGCTGACCAGAGCCAGCTTTCCACAGAGGCTCCCATTCAGAAGGAGAGGTAAAGGACAGAAGTTTAGCAAGTAAGCCCATGGTTTGGAGCTGAGCCAAGAAAAAAGGTTAAAGAATGCACATCAACCCTGCTGAGGTGAGCTGTGACCCCAAGGAAAAAATAAGAGGTACAAAATCCATCGCCAGGTGGATGGGAGTCCCCTTCCCCATGAGAACAGCTTGCAGTATACTCTATACAAATAAGCAAGCAGAGTTCAGATCCTCTCCTATATTATCCCATGGGAGAGACCCTCTAAAAACTGGAACTCCTTCCCTAGGAGGACTTACAAATATGCCAAGGTACTCTCCCATCAGGCATAAAACTGTATATATTCTCTACCTGCAATTCTGAACTCCCAGCACTCCCCTCCATCCTCACACTGAGGTCTGGAGGCCTGTCCCCAATGGAGTCCAGATTCTTGGGCATTTTCTCAAGAGGTGTGAACAGGGCATGGGCTGTTGCTGGTCTTTGCTGATTCTGCAGCATGGGAGTAAGGATAAGACAGTGAACTGAGGAAACCATACGGGAAGAGGGAGAGATGGTGCCCTGCAGCACAGAGCAGCAGCGGCAGCTGCAGGAACAATAGGGCTCACACTCCTGGGGATATTGTGGACAGACATTCCCTGCCTCTCTGGGCAACCAGAGGAAGCAGGGCATTTTCTCTGGTAGCAGCCATTGGCAGAACAGATCTGGGATGGAAACAGGCCCTGTGAGTAAAGGCTATGCCTGAGGCAATACCTGCCTAGGTGGGGCCTGGTGAGGACTAGCACGTGTGCAGAAACGGCACACTCCTAAGGGCTGAGCCAGAAGGACTACTGTAGTAAACCTAAGAAGCACCTGACCCTCAGAGGATCATAGTTGAGATAAAGGCAGGTGGGCAGAGGCTGGAACAGACAGCTGAGTGTGAGCTCTAACCACACCTGCCCCAACACAGACTGCAACCTAGACAGACATGCCAGCTCTGGGAAGTGGCACAGACCAGAGCTGAGTCACAGATTCTGTGAACTTAAACAACATCTGATCCACAGGGGAATATAGCCGGGATAGAAACAAATTCTGTGAAATTGTCCTGTTTTCTCAGCAATATCAATCAGGGGGAAGCTGGAACTGAGTGAACCTCCCCAGCCTCCATTAAGCACCTGAGGTTGTCAGGCCTAAGCTTCCTCTGCCAGATAGTGGCAGAGAGCAGTGGCTTGGCTGAGGAGACATAGATCTCTCTGTGACTTAGGCAGGTATAAACCCCTGGAGCATCTGCTCATTGGAGAGAACTGGGTCACAGCCCTGTGGGGTTACCAGTGCCTGGATGTGACAGAGGTGCAAAGAGGCATCACACTTCCCAAACTAATTCATTTTCTGGGTGGGTCCTTCTGACCTCACGGAGCACCGGAGCGAGCCATA